ACTATTTTCCTACTCAATTAATATTTTTTATCAATTTTTCGTGTAATATTAAAAAATACCCAATTATTAAGCACAACTAAGAAAATATTTAAGAATATAAATGTGCGAGAAAGAGAAAAAAATTGTTGGTAAGAGTCGATACCACTAGTGATTCTACAAACATAAAGATCTAAAAGTGAAGTGTCATATTAATCTTTAACTCTTTGAAAATAAAACTTTATGGTGGATAAAATTATAATTAAGATTAAATATTCAAAACAAGAGATGAACTAATATTAAGATCTGAATCAACATAGAATAAATTATTTTTATGCTAAAATAAAATAATTAAATCTTTTAATTAATTATTTAGCAAGAGATCCAATTCAATTATTTTTAAATTCATCATATGAGTAAAATTCTTATCAAGGTAAAAAGAAAAATCTTAGGGTACATAAATTTATTCCATAAAAAGAGCTTTAGAACACAAAGTAAAAAGCTTAGTATATTATTAAGAATCAAAATGCTATACAAGTGTCTGAGGAGGCACAATCAAAGCTAAATCCTAAACAAGAACAAGCTTTCAATATTATATTATAAAGAGTCGACTCTGGTATAACGAGATTATTCTTTGTAGGTGCCTCCGGCGGAATCGAAATAATATTTCTTTGTCATGCATTACTTGCAAATATTACATCAAGAGGCATGACACTGCTAGCAATAATAGCAAGTGGTATACCAACAACGATTTTATTGTGAGGCCACCCGCTTTAGATTTGATATAACTGTTCAGACAACTTAAACAACCATCACAAATATATAAAGCAGAGCAATGGTGCTAAATTTATAAGGAAAGCAAATTTGATAATATGGGATGAAGCACTTATGGCTAAGTGTCAAACGATCGAAATAATTGCCCGGAGTTCTAGAGATACTATAACGACCCGACTGGTCGTTTTGAACAATTGCATCCGGTTTGGCAGTTTGAGTTCAAGAGCAGCTTCACATTATGTATATTGACTTGTGCGCAGGGTTGGATTCAGTTTTCGGATGAATCAGAGTCGAATTGGAGAGAAGGAATATAGTCCTAGAAGCTTAAGCGGAGAGAATTTGACCGGAATTTGACTTTTGAGTAAACGGCTCCAGAATGAGTTTTGGATGATGTCAGTAGCTTCGTATGGTGATTTTGGGCTTGGGCGTGTGTTCGGATTTATGTTCGTGTTTCTGCTGCATGTTTACTTTGGGACTACGGGACAGTATCCCGGGAGATCCCCCTGCATGTTTACTTTGGGACTACGGATCGGTATTTCGGGAGATCCCCCCTGCACTTTTATATTGGAACTACGGGACTGCACCCGGTAGATTCCCCCAGTACTGGGTATTTATATTTGGGACTACGAATCGGTATTCCGGGAGATTTCCGTGCACTATGAGTTGGACTATGGGACGGCACCCGGGAGATCCACTGGATATTTATAATTGAGACTACAGGACGGTATCCTGGGAGATCCCCGGTTGTTATCTCTGCGTTGAGTTGTAATGATTATTTGTCCCCGTTGTATTTGTTGTTATCAATTCCAGTGTTTTAACTGTTTAGATTCCTTTACTGCTGTGATCCTTTGTGTTGGAATCCATAGTGTTTACAATACCTCGCCGTATTTTATATATATATTTCAATACTTCAAATTTCAATAATTGTTACATTTTTAACTCAATTAGTTTCTCAATTAAACTTCCTTAAAACTGTTTGAGGTTGTATTTTACTTAAAAAAGAGATTTCTACTAAGTTAATTTATTAAATCCCATGTTAAAGGTAATAAATCATTCGACGTTGTATTTTAATTGAAAATGGTACCTTCTTTATTCAAATGATTTCTAATAATAACTTTATCTTTTCTTGTTGAGTTCCTAGTTGGTTTAGAAATTGTACTCTACTTTATGTTATGTAAATGAGACTCCTTGAACATCTTAGTTGTATTGGTTATGGACTCTATGTACTAAGTAACATGAGAACGTCGTTGCGCAAAGTGAGATAGAATTATATGGGTACGAGGTGTCGGGTGTGCCAAGGGTTGGTACGTGAGGTTATGATATGAGATATCGAATTTGAGATGGCTAGAATTGTGCATCAGAAATGATGTGATTTATTGAGTTGACATCGCCTTTCTTATTTGAGTATATTTTACTTGTCTGTGTCTCAGCTATGTTGGTGTTAATTTACTTGGTTATCTTCGTTTCCATCCGTGTTTCCCTTTATTGTTTCTACTGTTTGTGGTTTGAGTTTCTCCATGCTGCTAATACTACCTTGTTATCGTATCTCGGTAGTTTATCGTTATATCCTGTTCAGTTTATTTGACCAGTAGGTGCCTTGACTGTTCCTCGTCACTACTCCACCGAGGTTAGTCTTGATACTTACTGGGCACCACTGTGGTGTGCTCATACTACACTTCTGTATATTTTTGTGTACAGATCCAGGTATTTGGTCGATAGTAGATGTGCGGGTCGTTGCGGTGGAGACTCAAGGTAAACCTGCTATAGCGTTCGCAGGCCTCGGAGTCACCTTCATTTGTACTTATTTTTATTTGTTCCTTTTGTTTCGGAGCAGTGATGTATTTATTTTGTATAACTACTCTTAGAAAGGCTTGTGACTTGTACCACCGGTTTTGGGAATTGTAATTTGTTCAGAGTAATTTAATTTAAAGTTAGTAAATATCAATGTTATTTCAGTTTATGTTAGGCTTACCTAGTTTAGAGACTAGGTGCCATCACGACTCCTTCGGAGGGATTTTTGGGTCGTGACAGATACATTGGATATTAATGAACCGTTTGGTGAAAAATTAATGGTTTAGGAGGTGATTTCAGTCAAGTACTACCAGTGGTTCCAAAATCGACAAAAGCAGAGACTGTAAAAGCTAGCTTGCCAGAGTTATATTTCTGGCCAAAAACGAAAAAGATTCAACTGACAAGAAATATAAAGTAAAAACCGATCCAGTATTCAGTGTTTTCTTGCTTCGCGTCGAAAACGAAGAAGAGCATCCAATAAAAGGTGATTTGGCTCTTCCTGAATATGTTATCAATTCCAATGGTAATAGCAGTTCATTTAATAAGAGAAATATTTCTATTATTAGATTAAAACGTAATTTGTGCAAATCGCATGATAGAATTAAAAAGATATCTTAGCTAGCAGAAATGAATATATTGATCAACTAAATAAAAGGTTGATTGCAAAACTTTATAGTAAAATAAAATGTTTTCAGTTTTTGACTCAACAGAAAATGATACCAATAAGTACTACCAAGAAGAATACTTAAATACTTTAATACCAAATGGCCTTCTACCCTACATTTTTGTTGTCAAGTTTCTTATTTCTTACGTATGTTAGTGTCACCGTATATATAATAGTTAAATTGATCTTCCGATGTATATAGTTTAATTTTGAAGAAAAATATGCATGTCATGCTACTGAAAAATTTAGATATGCCGAATAACTTATGTAATAGCACACATATGGTATATAGAAGTTTTGACAATAACGTCATACTTGCAAAAATTATGACACCGGTCAATGTGCTTCTAAGTATATTCTTATCCCTGAATTCAACTTTTGTCTTCCGAAACTAAGGAATATCCTTTTAAATTTGTGTGAAATAATTTTTAGTATGTTTATATTTTGTAAATATAATAAATAAAGTACAAGGACAAACATCCTAAATATTGGACTATATTTAACGCAATATGTTTTCTTGCACGGACAACTGTATGTTGCACTTTCTAAAGGGATATCAAGATCGACAACAAGAGTTATAGTTAAGGCAGAGCAACCAATGCATTAGGAGGAAACGTACGCAAAAAAATATTATCCACAAAGAAGTGTTCGTTAAGATACCATCACATTAAATACTTTTAAAATATAATATATAATTATCTAACTAACATGACAAAATTGATCATTTGTGTAAGTTTTGATGATGTTCTTTTATTTTAAAATCATGTATTATGCTAATGTAATAATATTTTTCGGCATTTAGATGATTGTTGTATTATTATACATAAAATTTCTCTCATTAATTAAATTTTATTGTTACTTCATATAAATAAATGATTAAATCATCACGTGCCATTATTAACGTGCAACGCATGTTCATAGATATTAGTACAACTATAAATACGTAATATTTAATTAGGAGTATAGAAATGCTAAGCAAGAAAAAAAAAGAATTAATGTAAACGTGCTTGTGGAAAAGTAATCTCTCCCACGAAGTCCAAGTCCCCACCCCCACCCCCACACACAAAAAAAATTAAAAAAAAAAAAAAAGCAACCAAATCCCAGCTTAGGCTAATAAAAAAATTTAACTTACCATATTATATTCATTTGTAATTCCTTATAGTACAAAGATTTTCTACTATTTAGAAATAAAGAACTTGCAAGAAAAAGAAAAAAAAGAACTTCCTCCATGTCATTTGTAATTTCTTTTAGAAAAAAAAAAATTGAAACTCTTGATCTAAAACGAGTCATAAAAATTTGTATAGTTATAAATTATTTCACTCAGGATAAAATATATAATTTAAAATTAATTCAATTTGCTTTTCTTCTTGAGGTTTTGATATTTTTGGTGGGGTTTGAGATTATGGAAAAGAAAAACTATCAGAAAGAAGTATAAATTATTTTATTCAGGATGAAATACATAATTTAAAATTAAAATATAGTTAAACATAGAAGTATCATTTTTGTAATAATGTATCTCGAGAAGTAAGAAGTTAGAAATTGACATGAAATTTCCGAAGTGTTTTTGTTCATAAATACATTACTCTACGCAATGGTGAATTTAGGATTTAAAGCTTATGGATTCGGAATTTTGATCGTATTAAAATATTAAATTTTAAATTAATAATTTATACATATTCAATAAATTGTTTAAAACAAATACAAAATTCGAACCAAAGCAACCCGCTAGAACTCTAGCTCCGCCCCTGGATCTAACTACCTTAGACCATCTAGATGTATAATAAAGCTTGTTTCATTTAAGAAAATTTGGCAATGACTTCAAATATACAGGCTAGCTAGCTACAGCCCAAGAAAATTATGCCATCCCACTCTTTTTAGCTTCTCGTCCAAAACTCTCTATGCCGAAAGCTATTTTCTTGCTTTAGCATGGCTCCAATGGAAGTTAGCTCTAAAGAGAGAAAATTCAGAAAAGCTTGTTTTCTGGGTTGTTTTGGATTTTCCATTAATAAAAAAAAATTATCTTCTGATTATGTTAAGTCAGCCGGCAGCAAAAAAAGAAGGAAGTCTTTCTTGTTAATTTCTAAATTTGTGGGGAAGCAGTCGGCGGCGGCAGAAACTATTCCGGTGGACATATCGGAGAAGTTCAACCGGAGTAGAGAAATTCATGATGTGGTGTTGCCGGAGAAGAAGGCTTCTGTTAAAACTCCGGCGACCACCGATCAGGTGCCGGTTAATTGTCAAACAAATATACCTGAGAAGGTTAATAATAAGGTATGTTAATATGAGAAGTAATCGGTAATATTTGAAAGCTGGTATAGACACCATCCTTATTTAATAGGAAAAAGTATAATCGATTTTAATATTTGAATGAAAAAGTAGAATATATTTCATACTTGTATAATAAGTGTCTTCAACTACTTTTAGATTGAGACGTGATTTTGATAGTAACTGGTTACATATGCTTTGTGAGATTGTCTAGAAAATGTATTTTCTGTTATTTAACTAAACATAACTTTAAGAACCCATCTTATCACAAATTAACTTTGTGAGAGTAATTGGGACTGAGATAGTTCGGCCATATTAATTAAGAGAAGCACAAATATTTCAGTTAACAGGGGTGAGAGGTTTGCCTTGGTGGGTACGAGGTGGGTAGAGGTAGGCCAAGAAGTCTTTGGGAGAGGTGATTAGACGAGACATGACGCATATGGACTTACTGAGTACATGACCCTTGATAGGAGGGTGTGGGGGTCGAGGACTAGGGTAGAAGGTTAGTAGGTAGTCAGACGTTTCCTTTTGTCTTCCTCAACATTAGTGTTAGTATGTTAGTATCATTTTATTCTTAGGTTGCTATTACTACCTATCGTTTAATTAATTGCTTTGGCTTTTGTTTTCTTAATATTTTGTTGTTATTATTACTTATCGCCACCACTTCATTCATTTTTTCTTTAGCTGAAGGTCTATCAAAAACAAACTTCAAAGCTAATTACGTCATACCTTCCTCAGACCCCACTTGTGATAATTCATTAGGTTTTGTTTATTATTGTTGTGATTGTATGACTTTAAGAACCATAGTATAAAAAGGAAGAAAGGAGTTGAAAATTATTACGTATTTCCTTAATGATCCAAGTTTAATCCATTTATTAACTTTGTAGATCATATGAAGGAGGTGATTCAAAAGTAAAAGAATTTTGTAGATTTTACACAATTTATATGGAGTTTGTGGATATCAAATTCACTTTTTTCTTCTTTCAAATCCATGTTGTAAAATTTTCTATCTGAAATAGAGGGAAATTTTTAATTTCTTTCTCTTTTCTGGATCTTGGACCAATGCTATACGTTTCTTATTTATGATTATTGATTGTTTTACTAGCAATTTCATATTATTTTTTTCTTGCCCTTCTTTACCTATTTCTTAAATGAGTATATGTTTAACAATTTTATTTATTGACCTCATTATTTTCAGAAGGACGATAATAAAACTCAGGACAACATCCACAGAAAGAACAAAAGTGTGGATCAATTGTTCGACAACGCACAAGAACATTCCACGTGTCCAAGTGAATTTTCAAGGAGTGCTACTATTTCTAGTGCTCATAATTTGAGCCACTTTAATTCACTAAAATACAAGCATGATATCAAGCTTTCCCACTCAGTATCTCTGCCGCCATCAAAACGGAAGAAACCACCGGCGGCGACCACCAACGGTGAAGTCAACGACGAGAAGTCGAGTCAACGACATGATCAAGAAATTAATAACAGCTACTTTGATTCAATTATTGGGATGTCAATTCTAATGGTGACCCTATTGATAATGTTGTTTTGGGGCAAGCTTTGTGCGATTATTTGTACGTCTGCATGGTTTTATTTTCTTCCTCGGTTTCGACCGAAGAATGAAGCGATCGTTGCCGGAAGAAATGGTGGAGTCGCCGGCGATGTTGATGTGAACTCCGACGAGTATAAGAAGAAAGTTGTGTTGGAAGGGTTTTTGGAGAGAAACCATAGGAGTGGTGTTGGATTTTTGTAGTCTTTTGCTAATGATTTGTTTTTTCCTTTTAGGAAAAACCTATTTGTTTAATTTTTGTCCTTTATGGGTGGAATATTTTGTATTTATTTTTTAAAACCAAAAAAAAAAGGGAAAGGAAAAGAAAGAAAAGGAGAAACACTTGTTTTTTTTCATTTCGATTGAATATTTTTGTGTAAATTTTTGACATATATGTGAGTGTTCAAAAGATATGGCTATTTGTTATTAGAAGTTTGTCTAATTTTCGACTTCGTTTATTTTTCTCATTTACTTGTTTATACTCTTTGTTGCTAAACTATGCTCCTTGTTATAAATTAACTGCAAAGATTTTTAAGCTTTATAAAAAGAAATGGTGCACTAAGCTCCTGCTATGTGCGGGGTCTGAGGAAATGTCGAATCACTTACCTTGTATTTTTGTGAGAAGCTGTTTTCACGGCTCGAACCGCAACCTCTTGATCAGATGACAACAATTTTATCGGTTACTCAAGTCTCCCCTTCTATAAACTCAATGAATAAAAATATTTAATGATTTTGGTGGTAACTTTTTGATTCAAAAGATATTGGAACCTTTTTGGACAAATCAATCAAAGAGAATGAAGGGGTAAATCTTAGCTAAGTATAATGAACTCTAGAACAAAAGGTATAAACGATGAACACAATGGAAAATATTTGTTGACCTTATGAAGGTCAGTGATCACACAATGAGAATGCCAATCTTTAATATCGAAAGGGTGTTACAATCAGAATCCTTAGCTCAAAGAGAAAGGAAGTCCTTTAACAAGGTGTTTTTCCCACTATATATAAGGGACAACCCCCTTCTGAACCCTAAAAAATATACCATAGGGAATATTCACGAGTATATTCCTAATGACTCCTATGGGGCCTACACTACTGCAAAAGTCATCCGTTCTCTGTTTGCTGTTAGCCGTCCTTCGCAGGGCGTCTAGCCATGAAGACCTCATCTTCTGTCGTATTTGTCGATGGTTGTGGTCGTCCAAATTTGGACCCATACAGTTAGTCCCTCCGCTTGTCGAGGTTGCAATTTGGTGCGTCCTTGACAAGCGGACACCGTCCATTCTTCGTGGAGAAATTTGGTTTCACGGAGCGTTATGACTTGGCCAACAATGGGGGTTTAGCGTGCTCAACAAGACCCTGGGTGGTGTGTCTTATCGAGAAATGACGTCATCTCCATATGCGTCATCATTATGCGTGTTTTTGAGACAGGGGCTGACGTCTTGTCGCTTCGATTTCGGCGCCACTCTGCAGTCTTCCTACTTCGATTCCGGTGCCACCCAATCCTATAAATAGGGGAGGGTTTGTTTTTTCAAAAACTCTTGACCATTTCGTCTCTTGTTATTCTTTCTCATCTCCCCCGTGTTTGCTTCTAACGTTTTCTCGGCTTCTTCTCCCCCCGTTCTTCGTTCTTAGCTTTCTCGGGAAGGGGTTTCTGACGCCACTCCGTTATCCGTGGCGCCCCCTTTTGGCGATGAGGGCCTGATGGTGGAGGAGGGGGATAACTTTCCTACCGTGGAGGAGTTGCTGCCGAGACACCCTATGTCTAGAAGCGACTTTCTTAAGGATCCCCCCTACTCCTATCCCCGTGTTCTCTGAAACGGAGCAAGTTCATATCGATGCTCTCCGTGCAAAGTATAACATTCGCGCTCATGTTGATATGGTTCCAGCGGGAAGGGACTTTGTGGAAGCCCATAGGCCTGGGTACTGTGCTTTTTATGAATACCCCTTCGTGATCGGTCATTCCTTCCCCCTTCTTCCATTAGCGGAGGAATTCTGTCGATTCTACCAGATCTGCCCGGCTCAACTTTCCCCGTATACACTTAAAATACTCATGCTGTCGACAAAATTTTCGGAGTTGGCGGGGTGTGAGCTTACCGTTCATCACCTTTGCACTTGTTTACACCTAACTTTCACAGAGGTACCATGGTGCATTTGAGGCACCGTGGGACAAAAGGGTTGGTGGTGGGGACCGACGACCGAGCGAGTCGTAAATTTTGGCACAAGTACTTCTTCGTCAGAACCGCACACATCGTGTCTGACCCCGCTAGGTTCCCAGAGCGATGGAACGAGAACCGTAAGTGTCGCCACTTATTTTACTCTTTTGTTTCTTCTTGATTTACCTTAAGTGTTTGTTTACTTCTTGTTTGCAGCTGTGGGGCGTCCACCTCGCCCTATTGCAAGTATAAGGGATTGGGTAGCCCGTCTGCTCCCCCATGCAGTGGAGACTCGAGACCGGACTGCTTTCGTAAAACGCTTTAGGCCGAGAGTTTCATCTCGTAAGTGTCTCCCCCTATATCATTCATTGACTGTATACTGTTTCCCATTGATACGACTTTTTACGATAACAGGTCGGGAGCTTCTAGGCGGAGGGCCCTAGTCCCAGCATTTCGGCAGGCTGTCGCTGCTGCAGGAATGCAGTTTACACTGAGTGAGTCCTTTCAGGAGGGTCGTGCTCATCCGATACAGATGGGAGATCCTTCTCGCGATATGGTCGTGAGGGAAGAGGCCTCTTCCGTACCGATCCATCACCTCGCGAACGAATCCTCTAATAGGGACGAGTTGTTATTGAGGAAGAGGAGGAGAGTGGAGCTTGCGAAAGATGTAGCCGTGGACACTGGTAAAAGTAGGACGGGTGCATCGCAGACAGCGCCCAAGTTTATGGCCGATGCCATCTTGGCAGGGAGGTCCCCTGGAAGAGGTGTACCGAGGAGGTGGTTCCGTGCGCTCCACTGACGGTGGCGCATCTTCTAACGTTGGAGGGGGCCTCCGCATCGAGGGCGACGACTCGGGTTCGGATGTGGACCCGGGGGGTGTTCGTGAGTTTTTAGAACGCCATAATCATGTGGAGGTCAGAGTGGAGGGCTCTGATCGGCATATAGTTGTCCCTGGGGACTATAACTTGTTGTCGAACTGTGATCAGGTGGCGTCTGTTTTAGCCCCTTTATGTGCTGCCCTTGAGAGCGAGGCTCTTAGAGCGATGAACAACATGGAGTTGTCTCGGAATGTCGCCATCATGGCCTTGCGGGTAGAGATCTTTCTCTTCCTTTTCGTCGTTGGGTTTGCGTTATTATTTTTAGACTGTCTTTTTGTTTTAACTTTTTCTTGTTGTGCTAGACCCTTATCATGGAGATTGAGCACGAGCGCCGGGAAAGGAAGAGGACGGCCATCTATGGGAAGATGTCTTCTAAATATCAAGAATATCGCACCAAACATCGTGCGATGGCCGACATCTACAATCAGGACCCTGACTTCCAACTGTTCCGCGAAGGGCTTAAACAAAGGGAGGATCAATTGGCGCGCAAGGTCGAGGAGTTGAGAGAGCGAGACGAGGATATCATGAAGGCCGTTGCCTGCAATAGTGAACTCGAGGCGTCCCTTAAGGTGAAGGAAGATGAACTCGAGTTAAGTAGAGGGGTGATGGCTGAGAATGCCGACCTACAAGCAAGGACGACTAGTTTAACCACTGAATTGGGTATGAAGGCGGCGGAGATCAACGAACTCAAGGGCGAGTTGAGTGTGAGTGCCAATAGACTGGCGACCGCTATTTCTGAAGCGACGGTTTTAGAAGATACCCTCTGTGTTTGTAGGTCAGAGCGGACCAAGGAGAAGGAGGCATCCGAGCTTAAGGTAGCGGAGCTCGAGAGGGGTGTAAAGGAATTGGAGGCGGAGCTATCCGCATTGACCAGACAAGCGGCATCACTGAGAGCGGAGGACGCGCACCGACACTCACAACCTTCTACGTCTCGTGCTTCAGCCGATCCTATCGCGCCTCATCGTTTATATGAGTTGTGGGTTCACGGCTTCACGCTGAGGCCAAGCTTGATGTTTACAAGGCCCTTCATGCTGACGGGAGGGCATCTGAAGTAGAGCTTCAGGATGTGCATGCCAAAGCTCGTGCAGCTCGTGAGGCATGCGGATACGACCCTCTTTCGCCTGACGGCGATGATATCAACTCTGATGATGCGAACAGTCTTGCCTCCGACTCTTGGTATGAAGATGTGTATGCTACCGTGGATGATGCATGATTTTTGGTTTGTACTTACTTTTGCCTCAGCATTTTTGTAAGGGCGTCTTTGAGCCCATTGTAAAGATAGGTGCCAGTAACATTTTGTTGTAATGAAGAAATTGTTTTGTCGATTCGGTGGTAGTCTTTGTAATCTTTATGATATTCTAGGTATTTGTCGAGCTGTTAAGCTGATTTTTATGATGGCCTTAGCCTTTGGGATGTTACTTCGGGCTGGCGCCGAAGTAGTATCCCGTCGTAGTTCGAGTGAAGTCGAACTTGTTTCTTCATCGATGGCCTTAGCCATTGGGATGTCACTTTCGAGCTGGCGTCGAAGTAGTATCCCGTCGTAGTTCGAATGAAGTCGAACTCGTTTCTTCGTTGATGGCCTTAGCCATTGGGATGTTACTTTCGAGCTGGCATCGAAGTAGTATCCCGTCGTAGTTCGAGCGAAGTCGAACTCGTTTCTTTGTCGATGGCCTTAGCGATTGGGATGTTACTTTCGAGCTGACGTCGAAGTAGTATCTCGTCATAGTTCGAGCGAAGTTGAACTCATTTCTTTGTCGATGGCCTTAGCCATTGGGATGTTATTTTCGAGCTGACGTTGAAGTAGTATCCCGTCGTAGTTCGAGCGAAGTCGAACTCATTTCTTTGTCGATGGCCTAAACCATTGGGATGTTACTTTCGAGCTGACGTCGAAGTAGTATCGCATTGTAGTTCGAGCGAAGTCGAACTCATTTCTTTGTCGATGGCCTTAGCCATTGGGATGTTACTTTCGAGCTGGCGTCGAAGTAGTATCCCGTCGTAAGGGCGGCGCTCTATTCTATTTGTTGGAGTATAGTGGATGCTAGTTTCATTCATACATTGGAGATTTGATTATATTCTTGTAGGAAATACGTGTTGACTTTGTACATACAATGGAGATTTGGCTATCTATACCCAGTCCCTTCATTACTCGGCCTGGAGATCATATCGGAAGGCGGGGTGATGAACAACACTTCGAACCTCGAGGCATCTACCTTGCCGCCTCATTAAAAACCTCACCGAGAAAACCCGATTGGGACAAAACCCGGGTGAGGGAAAAAGAGTACGACTTAGGAGGCGCCTCTTTTCAGAAGTGGAAGTATTTGAGATGGGCGACATTCCAATTGTTTTGGAGTAGTTTTCCTTCCATTGTCTCTAACTGGAACGCTCCTTTGTTCGCTGCCGCTGT